TTTAAAAGTGATGATACAAGTAATAAGTTTTATCAAGCAACTATCTTTCAAGTCAATAACAATGATTTATTATAAATGATCTATCTTTCAAGATCAAAAACCAATATAAATATAACTTTACAAGTTATCCAAAGTTTCTATCAAACAAGAAACTTCTCAAGTTATTAACTTAATTAACTAACTGTTAATTAATTAATTGATTAACTGTCTAATTAACTTGATTGATTTTTTCTAAGCTAAGATACATGATGTATTTATATAAATTACATGTTATACGATATAATTGGTTCTATTATTGTTGTTAAATTAATTAAATATGAGTGTTATCAGCATTTCTGGTGTTAACACGAGTGTTGATATTATTGTTATCATTGCTATCATTGCTGTCATTACAGTTATTGCTGGTGTTAACACAAACTTAAGAATCAATAATATCTAATATATAATTGTTCAATAAAATAATAACTATCTAAAAATAACTATCCAATAAAAATACTAATAAATAGAATTCAATAATAATTAATATATTTCTTATCCAATAAGATTGTTTGTCAAATGTCATATCATGATAATATATATATTAAACTTGAATTAGATTCAAATTTGTATAATAAATTAATTCAAATCAAAATTTGATTTGAGTTTAATTTGAATTTTAAATCAGGCTTGAATTCAAATAAAAGTTTAGTTCAATTTAATTTAAAAAGTGTATTCTAGTAAATATTAAAGATATTCTAAAGAATATAAAAGATATTTTAAAAAATATAAAGATAGTTTAAAAAATATAAAAGATTTTTAAAAGATATTTAAGATATTTTGAGAAATATAAAAGATATTCTAAAAAATAAAAAGATATTTTTTTAAATATTAATTAATAAACTAATTTAATAAATAAATAAATAAATAAATATATTCAAATAAATAAATAAATAAAAATTAATAATTATTTTTGTTATTTGATATTTTTTATTATTTTTAAAGATTTTTATATTATTTATTATTTTGAAAATTTTTTAATTAATAAATTTTTGTAAATAAATATAATATTTAATTTATTTTTAAAGATTTTGCTTCATAAAATTTAAAATTTGTTTGAATTTTTTAATTTTATGACTTTTTATTTAATTAATTTAAATAATAATTAAAGAATTTTTTGTTATTAAATCTGAGTTTTATTATTAAATATTTTAAGTAAATATAAAAAATTTTTTCAAAATGAATTTCAAGAGATTTATTAATTTCATTTTTGTATTATATAATTAAAACTTGTATTTTTTTGGAGAGTTTGTGATTAATTTTATAATAAAAAATTATTATTTAAATTTAATCTAATTTTTTAATATATATTTATCTAAGTATTTAAGAAATTTTTTCAAATTTTTCTTTAATAAGCTTTGTATTATAATAAAAAAATTCTTTTTTATTATTAATATATTAGTTATAATAAGAAATTTAAATAATTTTCTAAGTTATTTATATCTTTTAATTTAATTTTTTTAATATAAGTTTAATTATTTAATAGATAATATTTTTAAAAGTATTATTAAATTTTTAATAAGTTCTTTAATTTTTTAATAAAAAGTTCAAATAGTTCTGAATTATTAATTATTTTATAAATTATAAAAATCAAAATCGAGTATCAAAGTAATTTCTTATATATAGTAAAATTCAAGAATATAAGAATATTATAAAAGAATAATATGAAAAAAATATAAAGAGTTTAAGCAAATAAGTATAAAAAAGAAAATATAAATATTAATATTAAATTTAAATAAAATAAAATAAAATAAGAAAAATATTTATATTAAAAAATTTGAAAATAAAAGAGTAAGATATTGAAATAAAATAAATATAATGTAATAATAAGAAAAATAAAAAAATAAAATAAATAAAATATAAAAATATAAAAATAAATTAATAATTAAAAAAATAAATCAAGAATTATAAATGAATTAAAATTTAATTTATTTCAAATTCAAATAAAGATTATCTTTCAAAAATTTTTTAATTTATTATTGTAAAATTTTTTTCAATATGTTTTTATAACTTATAAATTTCATTAATAAATATTTTATAAATATAAAACTATTTTAAATATAATTGTGATCAAAATTTATTATTATATTTTATATATTATTTTATATTATACAATAAAACTTTGTTTTTAATTTTAAAATATTCTAATTTGGATAATTTGCTTTTATATTGTTCTTAAATTTTTTTGTAATAGGTATATACTAGTTATAGTATTATAAATTTGATTAAATATTTGTTTTACTAATTATAAATTCAGTTTAAGAGTTATTCTTTAATTTTTATTGGTATTTTTTCAAATATTATAATAATACTACAGGAATATTTATATTTCAATCTTTTAGAAATTCAATATAATATTATTGTAGTGCTAAAATTAATATTATATTAAATTATTTAACAATTTTATTGGTTTGCAGATAATAAAATTAATGTTAAATATTAAATTTGTGAGTTAATTTTTTTATAATATTAATTTTAAATTCAGCTTCTTGATCAAATTAAATTATCTTTGAACATTTATATTAACAAATAATTCAGTAACTTTAGTAACTCCTTTAATTGATATAATTAAATTCTTCTATAATTATCACTCTTGAAAAAATAAAATTTGGTGAATATAGAAAGAATATTACTATAGAGAGTGTTTTTTATTATATTTATATAAACAAAAAAGTAAAATAGAATAGCCATAAATAGGGTGAATATAAAGAGATGTGACTATAGAGAGATTTGAATATAAACAGGTGTAATTATAGAGGAGTTTGACTAATATTGCTTTAGCTTCAAACCATTTAGTAAGATAGTTTATTGATTATTTTGTTGAGTAATTTGATTTGGTCCAATTAAGTTAATTACAATATGATCAAATGGTTGTTAAACTTTTATTGGATGTAAGATTCTTTGGATTTTCAAGATCCAGTAAACTAACAGATAGAGCAATATTTGACAAAATCTTTGATATCAGTTTCTATTTCATTTCACCAGTCTATAAATATCTGAAAGTTGAATAGGTTGCAGTCAAGTGATTCCATTAAAAAATGGACATGAGTAAGATGCGAGATCGCTCAAAGAGTATGGAATCAACTATGCATAGTACAGACCCTTCAGAATAGCCCTACAAAATAAAATTGTAATAAATATATGTGTGAACACAAAGAAGTTTTAATAGTTATGCTTTAATTCAAAACAATTTAATATCGATTCGATAATTAAATGACGACAATTTTGCTTACGTAAGCGAAAATTTTTATAGGTGCATGTACATGTAGTACGTAATGGCGATTTAATTTAAAACACAGTACACAATCACTATACGTAAAATAAAATTAAAGGCATTCAAAGCTATCTGAAAATATTCTAAATTTTAAGACTCAAATACTCATAATTCGAGTAAATATATTGATTAATCAGAAAATGAATACTACCTTGATTATCTCAAACGAAATTATAAAGCTAAATCATCCAGCGAAAATAAAGATCTTGACAGTTCAATAAAAGAAAGCGTAAATTAATAAAATATTTCGAATAGATCTCTTTAAAATTGCTATCGTTATCGTTATGAGCATCTTTCAAATAAATATTCTGTATTTAGTCCAAAAACATTAGAGTTCGGTAATTATGGAATCGATATTAACTGTGTTGTTGAAGCACAATAACTTAACTTTATGTTCTTTCTAAATCCATTCCTTTTGTGTATTTAAGTATACAGGATCACATATAAAAAAATTTATTTCTTGTTCCTAACAATTTTTAACATAGTTTATTCAATTACATAACTTCATTCATCACGTACTAGTAAGAAAGGAGTGATTAAGAATAGGAATAATTCGAGTTTTGGAGAGGTGAGAGATATTATGTTTGGGGTGTATTAGTAAGAAGTATTACGTTTGCAAAATTGTTGTCGTTTACATATTATGTTGGCTAATACAGCAGCAAACTATAAATATCAGACTGATTTGAATTAACGTAAATTCTAAATACATCCAGATAATAAAATAAGCGGATCTTAAGAATAAATTCTGTTTTTAAATTTGATATATGGTTTATTGGAATGGGTTAAAAGAAGAGCTATATTGTATTTTTGATTTAACGTTAACATTAATAATATCGCTATTCATTTTGTGAAAGAACGCCGAAAATGAATATACTGTTTCAAATATATAATGTATAACTTAAAGGGCTCTAAAGAATATGTAAACTTGCGTATAAATATAGTGAAAAATAAAGTATAATTCTAAAATTAAGATAAATTATGTGTTTAATAAAGTAATTTAATGAATCTGAATTTGTTTAATTATGTTTTTTAATTGTAATTTTTATCATCGCTATTTCCCTTTTGTTTTAAACCAATTTCTTTTACAGATAAAATGTCGTACAAGTTAAACAATTGGCATTTTAAAGTATTCGTGCGAATTCATTATGCAAAATGAAACTATATGTTTTATATACAAAAGCATATTATGCAGTTTAGATTTGCAAAGAACAAAAGACCATTTTAAAGCCAATATGTTCATATGTTAATACACAAAACATAATAAAGTCAACTGCTTATCAAACACAGTAAACTTTTGCCTATATTTCAAATATTATATGCTTCTTTGACTTTCAAGTTCTCTCTTCAAGACTAAATACCAATTTTAAAAATAGTCCGTTTATTTTATTGTACAACTATATAAAAAATCTCATTGTACCAACAATTTATTTTAATAAACAACTAAGCATAATTTTATTAGAAAATTTTGTATTATAAATAATTTTATTCTACATGTAATCTGAAAGAAAATTTAATCAAGAAGACATCATAAATCTTGTAATTCTAAATTATCATTCACGGTCCTTAAGAACTAAATGTACTTTAAGACAAAGGTCTCATTATAACACATGTATTAATTTTAAAAGGTTTAATATCAAGCTTCGTTTTACCTTTAATAGGGTAAAGGTAATCCACCTCATCTGGTTCCTAATCATCGGGTTAAATCACCGGTTGGAACATTAATTTCTACATTAAGTGCATTTCCTTGGATAGAACCATCTTCTCTAGTATCTTTCCCAGTTGGAGGACTAATAATAACATCTTCTCCAATTAAACCACCGGTTGGAAGATCAATAGAACCATCTTCTCGGGTTAAATCACGGGTTGGAACATTAACTTCTCCGGTTAAACCACCGGTTGAAGTGTCTCCTCCGGTTAAACCATTAAGTGCATTTCCTTGGATAGAATCATCTCCTCCGATTGGAACTCTAATAGTAACTTCTCCTCCGGTTGAAGGATTAAGTGAACTTCCTAGAATAAAAGAGGAATCTCTTTTGGAGTTGGTAATAGGTAATCCAAAGGCCGTGGATAAACAAATTACAATAAGAACTATGAGAAATTGGTTGCATTGGAAATTCATTTTTATATTTTTAGTGTATCTAA